CATTTTAGACTATCCCACGGCCGCTGTGGTCCTTTCCCAATCAAAGCCCTCCCTGCGGGCCACGGACAGTACACGCTGGAGTCACCAGCAGCTGGATCCCAGCGCGGCCGAAGGACTCTCTGGGAACAGACTCTCCCCACAGGTGGCTCTTCCAGGCTTTCCCTCCTGCCCCGCCACCTCCCAGAAAGGCCTCTCTGTCCTCTGCGGCGCGGCCCATCGCGGTGGAATCCCTTCTCTCCCCCAAGAGCATTACTTAGCGCAGATGGGCATGAGGTGTGAGCCCTGCTCTCAGGCCCCAGTTACGAGCAGCCAGAAAGTCTTCCCTGGTCTCTAACCTTACTGCGCCCGCTGCAGGCGACACCTCCCTCCCCAGTACTATTCCACACCTTCCTGGCCCCTCTTCCTGCAAGGCAGAAGCAGCACGAACTGACTTCAGAAACTCTTAGAATGACAGTGCAGGAAGGGCCTGCAAATCGGCAACTAACTTCCCCAGGTGCCAGAGGACAGCCAGCCCAGAGATGTAAGAAGTGTGTCCAACGACACCTGGAAAGGAGGGGCAGGGCCAGCCAGGGCTTCTGGCTCTCTACCTCCCACTAAAAAAACAGGAGGAATCTTGAGGGCTGCTCCTGAATTTAATGAGATGGAGTAAGGAGCCAAAGTCAGTATTAAGGATCCAGGGGTCTTGGGGCCCCCGAAACACCAGAGAAGAAGGGAGCCATAGGAGAAGGGAGCCATGTGGATGGAACCCCCAGAAACCCTGAGGCAGACCGTGCCTCTACAGCCTTGGGGGTCCAGAGCCCAAGTGGAAGGCACCAAGTGCCTCTCCCTGGTGAGAATGGAGGTCGGCATTGATCTTGGGCTGCCATGGGAGGGAGAAGGAGACACCTCTCCCAGCCCAGCCATTTCCAGGAAACACTTGGGCACCGCGCTAGGGGCCATTAAAAGGCACGATAACCATTCACAGTCTGCAGCTGTTGCGGAGAATGTTCACTCCACACCTGGGGTGGACAACAGGGGCCGCGGGACATAACCCAGCCCTGAACGTCCAACAGAGCGGCCTGCCCACCTGCCCACCTGGCCACTTGCCAAAATCCCCCCCCCTCCCCCAGCTGGGGTTTAGCCACCTGCTCCCCAGCGTCTCGACATCCTTCCTCTCCAGACTGCCAGGCTGCTAAGAGCTGGATTTGACTCTGACTGGGGTAACAACCTCCCTCCTTTTGCACTAGGCCCTTCTCTCAAGAATCCGAAAGCCCGCCGACAGGCTACCGGGCCCCATGACCACTGTCCACGTGACCCCTCTCCACACAGCCTTCACTCCAAGCATGGCCTGAGTCTGCTCCCATCAGCATCACCAGAGCTGTGCTACCACGCTGGTTCTGGGCTGCCCTAAAGAATCCGAACCTGGGAGGGGGCAAGCCTTGGGAACCTGCATTGAAATATATTCCTTTGGTAATTCTGACACAACTGAAAGTTTGCAAACTACGTTCTCACAGTGTCCCGGGGCGGCTGCACTCATTTTTGCTGCCAACCTGACAGCTGTTACAGCTGTGTGTGTGGACACAGTTAATGGGATTTCCTATCTGGCAGCTGTGCAGCAGGGAAGGGACAGCTGAGGGTCTCAAAAACAAGAAGAGGGGTTGAGGTAGGAGGGAATGGGGGCAGGGGAGGCTGTCTGAAGGGACGGGGTATGCAACGCTGTTCCTGAGCTCCCTTCTCCTGTTGGGCTGAAATCCCTGCAGGAAGGGCAACAGCTGACCAAGTGGTCCCCAGTATTTTTAGAAAACAATCTCCTCTCTGAAACCTCACAAGTCCCCCCAAGGCCAGACTGGTCTCTATTGTCTAGGAGCACAACTTGGAGGTACAAAGGCAGGCCTGCCACATGCGGTTGTGCAGGTTACACATTGCACAAGGGCACCGGATTGAAGGGACAAGCTGGGGCTGAGATCCAGCCCACGGTCCAATTGCTAGGCCATGCACTCTGGCATGAAGATATCTCTCTGAAAAAAAGGGCCACTTTTTAAATTTTGCACATAGGAGCTCTTCTTGTGTGCGCTGGCAGTGGCCCTCCCTAGAGACCTGAATCCGAATCCCCGCTGTCTCTGTGACCTTGGGCAAGTTCCTCAACCTCTCTGATCCTTCTCAATTATACAACCTGGCTATTAATACCTCCCTAGAAGAGGTAAGGTAAGGAAAGCACCTGATATCCCGTCACTTAGTACACTATATTAATTCTCTTCCCACCAGTCTCACCCTTCCTACCCTCCCCACACCCTACACCTACACACCCACACACCCAGCCAAGCTTGGTATGGTCTGAAGAATGTGAATAAGAATATCCAGGGGAAACCCCAATGCCAATCCACGGCACTTCTCAAACTCCCAATATCCACAGCATCTTTTCCCGGCATCAGCAGGATGCACACCCTCCTCGCTGGGAAAGGAGACTCCTCTTCCCTGCCTGCTCAGAATATCCTGCCCAGTCCAGGCCGGAGGGGAATCCAGGGCTCACAGAAGGGAGGCAGGGGATGCCCCGGCATTGCATTCTGGGGAATCCCACCCTGGAGTTCAAGTTCCCAGGCTCCCCAAGCTGGGACCAGGCCTAGATGAGGGGGTGCCCACTGTGTGCTGGGCTGTTGTGCGGGAGCCCTCAAGGAAGACCTAGGATAGCACAAGACCTAAGCTGTGATCTGCACCCCTCCTCAAGCAAGAGCAGCAGAGAGAACCCCACATCCCTCACGGGCTCCGTCTGCCAAGGTTCTGGCTCACCCACTGGGGCAACCATATCCGTCTATTTACCCAGAGGGCCAAGCCCCGGAATAGACCCTAGGAATCCTGCCACCAGCCCTGGATGCCAGCGCCCAAGCATCATTCATTCATCCACGTGCCAGGCACTGTGCTAAAGCCGGGAAATGGCTGTGAACAAGAGAGCCAGAGAGCAATGGATGCCCCTAAAATGGGGTTCCATACCCGCTGCTGGAGTAGGCAGAGGCCACCCCGGGAAGCCCCGTTCCCCAGCCCCTCAGCTGCAGAGGACGGGCAACACACACTGCCCAGAAAGCATCCCCGAACACCTGCTCTTTCAGCCTCCTGCTCTTGCATCCTGTCAAGATACTGGGGGGAGGAAGGGAGACCAGGGTGCCTGGGCCCTCATGGCCATGTTTATCCAGGGTGGAATTTTTTTAACCCAAAGGTTAAAGTGTTTCTATTTGAAACATCTATTTACATTCCAGAGTAAAAAAAAAAAACCAAGGCCTCCGAGCTCCCGGCCTATATCTGTCCCCAGCCGCGTCACAGACACAGCATCAGAGCTGCGCAGGGGAGAACATTCTTAGCCCTCTCCCCAGCCGCCGAGGTGACTCACACCTCCCTCCCGCCAGCATGGACCACGCCACCGCACCGCGCAGAAGGCCAGGCCCTGTGTGTGCTGTGGGGGGATGGAGGGGAGACAGGGATCTGGAGAGAGAGACTGGCGGGGGGAGCTATGCAGGTACAGGCAGCCTTAGGGAAGAGTTGTGGGTAGCGGGGGTCCAACCTGCAAGGATTCTGGGGTTTAGCTTGAAAGAAGGTGAGAGAACACGCCGCGGAGGAAACCTCAGTCTGGCCACCAGCTGCTGCCGGAAGGCAAGGGACAGTGGGAACAGGGCCGGAGGGGTGAACGGACATGGCATCTGCCAAATGGGGTAGAGCTGCCCCCAAACAGATGCTCTGCAGTCCGTCCTCTATTTCCCAAGAGACCACCTTGCCTGCGGGAGGCTTTGGGATAGGGGTCAGCAGGCAGGGTCTTTAGCCAGAGCTACCGACTCAAGTAGACCAAGACTAGACCAGCCCTCCATGGTTACACTCCTGCCCAGGGGATTGTGTAGGGACTTTGCAGGGCTGGTGCCCAGGGTTGTGCCCCTACCCTAGGAGACTACACGGGCATCCCTGCCCAGGCAGATGGCAAGCCTTATTCCAAGGGTTTTCCAAATTTTCCCCAAACAGTCACCCTCTGACACATCTCAATTCAGCTGCAACCTTATCCCTGGATGGTTTAAAGCCCAATCACACCAGCTCCCACCTTCCAATTCAAAGCCTGGGACCCACGCCCACGTACCCAGAGGCAAAGGCTCCCCATACATACACACACAGACACCCACACCCAAGTGCCAAGCCACTGTCAGGAGGGGCCAAGCGGGCATGGATCCAGCAGGCCCCTCCCTCGAGGAAGCATCTTGTGGTGCCGGCCTGGTGGGGAGGCTGTGCCAGAAAGGCTTTGATGCTGCCAACAGGTTCCTGGGAGGGAGGGAAGGAGTGGCCCAGCTCTAGGGCACCCCACCCCCAGCCAAGAGCCAAAAAAGTCCCTGCCGAGAAGGTGGCAGGGCTAGGGGATCCCAAGCCTGTATGAAGGCATCTCTTTGGCCTCATGAGATGGGAACAAACCAAGGCCTGGGGGAAGGAGGAATATGGGGGAGCAAAGACCTAAGGCAGCAAAGGCCCACTGCTACCCCAGCTGCCAGCCTCTGCCTAACCCTACAGCTGCACAAGCCTCCTCCTTAGCTGTCTGATTCCCAGGGGACTCCTGACCAGGGACTTGCAGAAACCGCTGCAATGGACCCTCTGCTCCGCAGAACCCAGCCAGAGGAGCTACGGCAGCCTTTATTTGTGTGCACACTCAGCTATGGCTTCTGCCCCGGCCCAGACCTGGGGGGCGGGCAGCCTGGAGGCAGGTCACTGACCCACTTCCTCCCCTCTGACCATGGTGCCAACTAGGCCAGGATCCTCTAGCAACCCACAGCCCCCAGCAGGCAAGGCTGACCCTGCCGGAGGCCAAAGGGGCTTGAAGAGATGCAGCACAGCGCAGCCGAAGGGAGGGCAGGAAATCCCACCTCCCTAACTACCCATATCCTCAACACAAAGCCCCTAAGCAAGACCCTCTCTGGGCGAGGCTCAGAGCCAGATACTCAGCCCCAGAGACAAGGACGCCCAATGCAGAGGACAGGCGGGATCACCGAGGCACTTACCTGCCACAGGGATGCCGTGTAGAGGGGTCCGAGGCAGGATTTCCAAGGATGGTTCCCGGCCTGACATCCCATCTGCTGAGAAACAGGATTCCGTCTCATAGATGGTTTGCAGCATCTCCACGAGCCCCTGAGCCTTGGGCACCAGCAGCATGCCAGAGAGGGGGCCGCCAGAGGCGGGAATCAGCCAAGGGGAAGGTGGTCGGGCAGCCCTCACGGCTCAAGGGCTCCCTCAGGCCACTGCTGCTGGGACCCGCACTTGGGGAGGCGCCTCAGCCTCATCCGGCCTGGGCACTCCTGGAACAGGAGGAGCCAGGAGGCCCCAGAGCTCCAGGCCCAGCTCGCCCCTAGAGGGGCATTGGACCACCGGCCTGTCCCCCGCTCTCAGGAGCTGGAGTATGGCAAAGCACTCAGGGGACAGGAAGGGGAGCTCAGCAGGCAGGCGGGCTCTCTGTGTTCCCTCCCAGCCCTGGGTGACAGCTCTGGGACCGGCTCTGTGCTCCTCCTTCCCGAATGAGCCGCCGGCAGCTGGCAGGAGACTGAAATAGCAGTTGGGGGAGGGCCCTGTCTATAAATAGGTGGAGCATGCTCAGGGAGCTGCAGGCTGGCTGCCAGGAGCCAGGGCCTGGCGGAGGCCCCATGGGGGGAGGCGCGTTCCACCCCAGGAGGAAGCGCCAGGCAGGGGGATGGGAACAGGGGAGGGCCTGCACTCAGGGCCAAGGCCACAGAGCCTGGTGGCCAGAGGCTAGGCTGGGGAAGGGCCGTGCCGGAGGACCCATGCATCTGGGACAGCTCTGGTGCTGCTCTTGGCAGGCGAGGGGCTGGAGACCAAACACAGTTCCATCCTCTATCTTCCCTCCTGCATCCAGAGCATGTTTAGGAACAGGAGAGGTCTCCAAGAGGGCAGACAGGGCCACCTGGCCTAACCTTGCATCTTTCTTAGAGTTCTTCTAAGAGCCTGATAGAAGTTTGTTTAACTTCTGCTCTCCCTCAGAGCTGAGGTGCCTCTTCAGCCCCTCAGCCAACATGGAGACCCCTGGGCAGCAGCTAAATGGCAGCTTCCTTCAACATATTGGGGTATCACCTCTGGCGGCTGCTCTGCTTCCTTCGAGGGGGCAGGAGACTCTTCCTGGACAGGACTCATCCCCGCCCAGGGAAGGGGACCTGGGCGCACCTGCCCATTCCCAGAGCACAGGTAGTTTCTCCCCTGCAGTGTGCCAGGTGGAATGCTAACAGCAACACACACATCACCTCATTTATTCTGCATGATGACCTCAGGAGATAGGTGCAGATGGGGAAACCAAGGCACTGAGAGCTGAAGTCACTCACCCTTGGTCATACAGCCACTTAAATGGTACGGCTAGACTGCTTAGCTCTAACTGCCACAGCCCACTGCCTCCTGCACAACAGAGCGAAGCTGTCCCAGGGTTTCTGTTAACAGGTACCCAGGGAGGAGCAGACTTGAGGCTGGAGGCCCTCTAAGAAGAATCAAGAGGCTGCCAGCATCCAGCCTTCCTCGCCAGTCCCAGACCTGACAGGTCAGCTCCTGTTCTGGGGTGCTGCTGGGACCTGGGGCTGGGGCCCCATGAGAACTGGTGATACCTACCTGCCCTGCCCACTGCTGGTCCATCCCTTCTCAGATTGTGCTTCCCACTGGTACAGAGATCCCACTTGGCCCCCTGACCTCACTGGAGCCTTTTAATAGCCTGGTTATTCCTGGGTCTGTGTCCCCCTCCCCCTTCCTGATGTCACAGTTGCTATTTTGGAGCCCCCTCCTGGCCCCTTCTTGCCCCCAACTCCAGGCATGGAGCCAGGGACACCTGTCCTCTCCCTGGACTGGATGACCTCACCCTCTTGTCGGGAGCCCGGGGGGAGCTGGCCAACCAAGGACACAGTGGCTGTGGGTCCTGAAGCCCATCTTCCCACCAGCTTCTGCCAGCCAGGGACAGCAAAGGGGCCTCCTGCCTCGGATGGGGTGCACACTGACAGGGCAGGTGGCAGAGGTGGGCATTCCCAGGCTATAGACTGGCTGGCAAGATGTATATTTGGGGGGGGGGAGGCGCGGAAAAGGACCTAAACAAATATCTGAAGCCTCAGCTTCTTAGCCAAGGCAGGCTCTAGAAAAATGGTGATAGAGCAGGACCCCCACAGGGGTCTGAAATTGGTGGACACCTCAAGGTAGGTCATGGGACCTTGTTTACCACCCCCAACCACAAATCCCTCCTGGCCAACCAGGCTCTCTAAAAAAGAAGGGAAGGCCAAGGTTTCCTCAATGGGGTGACAGGCAGCAGACTCCAGGGAGCCCAGAAATAGCCCCTCCCAGCCCAGGACTCCACCCACCCACGCTGGGAGCAACCGGAAGGGCTGGCTGGCCCTGTCCTGGCTCTCTTGCCTGCCCCAGGCACGGGAGAGTAGGCAGGGGAGCCCTGTTCTGGAAGAGAGGAAGTCACCAGTTATGATGATTCAAAGCAGGGCCTCCAGAACCTGGAGCAGCCAGAAACCTAAGGCGAAAACTCTCTGCTTAGGGAAGACAGGAGCACCAGGAGACTGGGCATCCAGAAGTGGCCAAAGCCAGGGGCTCAGGGCAATTCCCTGCACTGTTATGATTTACAGTAACAGCCAGAAGCGGGAAGGGAAGTGTCACACACAGCCAGACAATCCTCAGTGCAGTTCCCAGGGAATAAGAGAGGAGGACTGGGAAGGAGACAAGTGTCTTTTTTTACTTCCGAGATTCAAATGATGCCACAGTATCTTCCTAACGCCTAACCTTAATCTTTCCTGCTCTATAGCCCCTTTCCTTGTGGTTCATGTCTCTCCTGCATCCCCACTCACCCCATGTGTCACCCTACAAACCTTACAGAGCACCCACCAAACATGGGGTACATGAGCCTCATCCGGAGCCAGCACCATCCCCTCAGAAGCACAGTGACCTTGTTCCATCCCTCGGAGGCTTAGGGTCAGGCCTCCTAACCCCCTACATCTCGAGGAAGGGAACCCACTCCTGGCTCCTGGTGCTCCTCCAGGCTTCCTTGTCCTGGACCCCAAGACTGGCGTGGGGCCTGACCCAAAGGAAGAAAGCAAGGTCAGCTTTGTGTACAATACGAAAGCCAAGGGCTGAGCCAAGAGCACCCCGGATGGAGTGCGGGGTGCCAGCTTCCCTGGGGTTCTAGAGACATTAGGCCCGCCTGCCCTCCAGTTTCCTCCTGCCCTTTGAGCCCAGTCATGCTGGAGCCCGCTGGCATCGCCTGGGAGCTGCCATATGCCAGGTCCCATGCTAGGTGCTGGCTGAACCCTCTCATCTGAAACCAAACCCAGGAAAAACATAAACACCTACTTTGGCATCTTCACATCCCCTCAGGGTTGACCCTGCCTCCTCCCACCATCCCATCTAAGCCTTCCATCCCTTTGAAAGGATGGAGAGGGAAGGGGAAGTGGAGCAGACCCTGATCTCTAGCGAGCACAGAGGTGCGCTGGGGGCTCCTAAGTGGAGAAGTGACAACAGGAGTCCACTTCCCAGACCCCCAGCCCACGCTGGCACTGACCCACTTTCTCCTCCCCAGGGCTGGCTCCTTCCCCAGGGGCTCAGAGGCAGAGCCTGAGCTGGAGACTGGGAGGCAGGACGCCGAGGTTCCTGGCTCCACCCCACGCCCATGCCCCAGTTTCTCTGGTCACCCAGAAAGGAGGGGGCAGCTGCCCGCCCTCCCGCCCTCCTGGGAAAGGGAAGGAGAGAAAGTGTGGAGTATGCTGGGAGGTGCTGGGCAGGCAGGTGTTGTCATGAAGCTTGTCTCCCTCCCACGCTGCGGGTAGGAGCCTGGCTGCCTTCTCCTGGGGCCCGTCACCATCTACACTGGCTCGCATGGTGTGCCTCACGCTTGCCCTCTCCTCTGGGCAACAGCAGAGGAGACAGGGCAGTGACCAGAGCAGGCCTAGGTCCCAGGTCTCGGGTCAACCCCAGGCAGGGGGCAGATTCCGCCAGTCCTTCAATCCCACTGAGGGCAGCAGAAGTGACCAGTTCCAGAAAAATAAAGAAAGCCTAGCTCCTCAAGCGCCCTTTTTCCTGGAGAGAAGCCAGACACCCGGGAGTGGGCTCCTCAGGGAAGCGGGCAGCCCCCTCAATGGGCTCTGCCTTTACCCAGGTGACATGCTGGCATTTGGCCCACCCTGGAGGCAAGCTGGGCAGCTCCCACTACCCAGGGAGGGGAGTGAAGGCCCAGAAGTAAGCAGCCTCGAGTCTCTACCTGCCGCCCCTCACCCAGAACTCCCTCTCACTGGCTTGTTTGCTATGAGAGCAGAGATGAACCACCTTCTATTTTTCTCCTGTTTTCCCCCAGGCGGAGCTCAGGGTCTCACGTGTTGGGGGTAGTCAGCAAGGACTTATCAAACAGGAAAGCTCCTGCACTGAGAGAAGTTCAGGGGAACCCCAAATCAGTGTTATTCTGTGTCCTAAGGAAAGAGGAACGAGTCTTGGGGGATTCGGGAGAGGGTGGGAGTGCTCAGGGCTGGGGCCACCAGGCCCTGGGGACTAACCATTGTCATCGTGCCCACCTCTCTCCCAGCCTTGCGGTCCCTTGCTCTTCCTGGGCCTCTCTGAAGGGTGTCCACAGGGGAAGTAGACACCACATGCTCCAGCTACAATACCTGGTTTCATTTTACTTCTGTGAAGTCCAAAGGCACATGGTATCCAAGGCTCTGCCTGGCGCAGGGCACCTGCAGCCCCAACCCAGATGCCACCCTGAGCTCTGGGATTAGCAGATGCCAGGCCCCTTGAAGAGGACGAGCTGTGTGGAGGTGGCTATCCCTGGAGCAGCTCTAACCACAAGTGGGAGAGCCAGTCCTGGAGCCCCAGAAAAACTCAGCAGGAGGGGCCTCAGGGGGGTGCTCCCAAGGAATGACCCCAGTTCTGAGGCCTCTCCATAGTCCTAAAATGAGGTCCCCAGTCCCTACTCCCCTCCTTCTCTCCCTA